TTTTCAATTTTTTAATTGTGAGCAATTTGAATTTGGCTTTATAAAATTACAAAATTCTTCCACGCGATTACAGTACGCGTAAAAACAAAGCGGGGGATTCACGACTTTATATAAAAAACGAAGAGAAATTAAAAATATCGCTTTATAAGTAATTGTGGTTAGGCTTCACATGCTGATATTTTTAATTTCTCTTCGTTTTTTATATAAAGTCGTGAACCCCCCACTTTGTTTTTACGCGTACTGTAATCGCGTGGAAGAATTTTGTAATTTTATAAAGCCAAATTCAAATTGCTCACGATTAAAAAATTGAAAATTTCAAATACCAATATCTTTCTCATTAGACTTCTGACCCGAGTGTTTCAAGTATAAAAACGTTCTGCCATGCGGTCCGCAACTTATCGTGGTATTATTTTAGGCGTAAAAACCAATAAAAAGATTCAGCAGCGCAAAAACTATATTCGAATGTGTCGGTAAAACAGACGACTTTAGCATCCTCTTAAATATAAATATCATATATGCAGGGTGTCCCATAAAGATCGCAGCAATGCTTAAGAGTAAAGAGCGAGAGCAAGTGTCCATAGGCAAATGGCCCCATTTTTTTTTCGCATTTGATTTTGGTCACAAAGTAAAATACCAAACGGAAGGTCTTGTCAAGCTGATTACAGATATGTCAGTCTCAGAGTGTACCTATTTAACGTTCCAGAGATATCGGGCTCCGAGGATTCCATTCCACTTCCAAACAAATGGTTGATATCTGTCCAGACGGCTTCATCGCTTACGTCCTGGGAATTTTTCGAGCCCGATATCTCTGGAACGTTAAATAGGTACACTCAGAGACAGAGACATATCTGCGATCATCTTGACGAGACCTTTCATTTGGTACCTACTTTGTGACCAAAATCAAATGCGAAAAAATGGGGACAATCTTGTCCTCACTCTTTCTACGATTATTGTAATATACAAAATTCTTAATACCAAAATACTCAGGCTATCATGATTTTTATTATACATTAGAAGTATTCAAAGTCAGCAAATGAGATAGCTTAAAATTAGAGTTCAGAATACCCTGATGTACGGGTACTCACCCGCGCCCGACGAGTATTAAAAGGGTACCCGCATAGACGAGGGTAATATTATTATATTATTCGCCATGGAAACGACGTTTTATTTGTCGTATGAGGAAGAAATTGCATAATAAAATATAGCTAACAATCTATTTCGTTGTACGAATGTGTCGATCATAGAATCGCATAAAATTTTTCGTTTTCTACATTTTATCTTGTCTCTAATCTTGTATAAATAATTAGAAGCTAAGGTGAGGTGGGTATTACATAACAGCCTGTATAACAAGATTTTTTTCCATTTTTTGCCAGGTTGGCTATAGTTTTGGCCGGTAATCCATCTCTCATGGTAAAAGACTTCACGAAATAAAACTCACCCTGTATAAGAATATATAAAAAATAATAAAGCGATATTTATTTAAGCGGAAAGTATTATATAAACAATTATATAAATTTTGTAAGTTTTATGTTGAGTTATAATGATGAAGTATTAAGTATTTTTTCAAATAATGCCCATTTCATCACACGAGTATCCTTTTTAATTTATACTAATCAAATAGTTCAAGCTTTATTGGTTAAATATTTACTTAACGTTTAAATTCATATTAATGTATGATACAATACATACGGGGTGAATCTTATTTTCTGCCCCAGCCTTTTAACATGAGAGATGGATTGCCGATTGCAACTTTAGTTCACTGAACAGCACAAGACGGCAGCTGCTTAGATCTCAGGGTTGCAGGCAAGTTGAAAACTTGTTCCACTTACAGACATCACGTGGAGAAAAATAATTTGCTGGCACAGTATATCGTATATGTAAACTTAAGTAAATTTTGTCTATTATTTTATGATAAAGTTATTTTCTCTTTTATGGACAACTCCGTGTTAAGAACACTAATTTTATTGAACGTTTGACTGAACAGAAATTCGTTTATTTCTATAGCTGAATATTTCACACAATTATTTTTCAATAAAATTAGTGTTCTTAACACGGAGTTGTCCATAAAAGAGAAAATAACTTTATCATAAAATAACAGACATTTACTTAAGTTTATATACGATGTACTGTGCTAGCAAATAATTTTTCTCCGCGTGATGTCTGTAAGTGAAACAAGTTTTCAACTTGCCTGCAACATCCCTGAGATCTAAGCAGCTGCCTTCTTGTGCCGTTCAGTGAACTAAAATTGCAGCCGGTAATTCATCTCTCATGGTAAAAGGCTGGTACAGGAAGTAAGATTCACCCCGTGTGTACACTGGTATTTTATTTTCTAAAAATTTATCATTTCTTCGAAATATAATTTTAATTTAATCGTAATTTTTACCCGTTATGTCAGCCCATTCGGGAGAGGTGAATGAATAGTTTCCCTCCATTATGTTCCTCAGCATAACCATCTGCTTGCGATGCCAAAATGGAGGACAGCCAACTAATAGCGTAAACATAATCACGCCACATGCCCATCTGTTACATCATAAACAGAAATGGAAAATGTAAGGCTTGTACTTTGCAAGAAGCTAAAATACATTTTAAAATTCGCTAATGTACACACGCGCGTGCGACTATATTCGTGGAATCGTGTACTTGTTCATGACAAACCATTATGTACGTGCGTTTACTCTTTTTTTTTAACTCTGACAAAATCTTACATGTCAACTTCGAATCCATAACCTTCTGTATTGTCAAACATGTTGCACTTTAATACTTCTGGTGCTAGATAGCCAGGCGTGCCACAAAGATCTGTAAAATATGCCAATAATTTTTTCACTTGGATGTTTTTAGACTTGGAAGACATACAAGAGAAAGTTAACACAAAACCTTCTAATTTTTCCCCATGCTTCAATAATCTGGCGAATCCAAAGTCCGTTATCTTCACATTCAAGTTATCGTCGAGTAATATATTCTCAGGCTTCAGATCCCTGTGCACTATTCCTTGATTATGTACATGCTGAACTCCTTCAAACACTTGTCTCATGATATAGCGCGTCTTCTTTTCAGAGAGCGTCACAACTGACGTGAGATAATCAAACAATTCTCCGTTCTTGCACAATTCAAAAATTAAGAATATAAATGTACTAGATTCGAAAACATCGTGCAATTCAACTGGAAAAAAAGGAAGGAAAGAACTGCACTTGTCTTACACGTTTGCATTTGTTTAAAATAAATTAAAGAATTTCGCATCTCTTGCCATCTCTGTCTCAGACAAAGAGTGGAAGAGAAAGCTTACTGATATATGGGTGTCCGGCTACTCTGCGAAGTATATGCACTTCCTGCAGCGTGGCATCCTTCATAGTATGCCCGTCCTCGTGAGTCTCGTTGCTTATGTCTATAATTTTAGCCGCGTACTCTATTCCCGTCTCTTTCTCTATGCATCTTCTCACAGTGGAAGATATTCCCCTGAAATGCAATAATTCGCGATGGTCAGTAACGCCGATACTCGCGGTTTGTGTGGAAACTCGTCGATTTGTTTTAATTATGTAATGTTATCGTCAACTCGATTTAACGCCGTCGTATTTACCGACATCGCTGGTGCCACGCGAGAATACATAAAATATGAACAGAAGAGGGGCATTCGTTAGAGACACAGGCATAAGTCAACAATTAATATCGGAAAACATTATCCTGGCGAAACATCCGGAATTCCACGCACCTTCCCAAGATCTCTTTAGGCTCGTATTTGGCGTAAAATCCCTTGGCCGCGTCCTTATCCGGCAGCACATCGTCCCCTTCATCCTTCGCCATGATCGTGTCACATGCAGTTCGCTATAATATGTCGTTCATAAGAGACACGCTGTCGCTTCCTCGTGCAAGCCTCAACGGTGCACTCGTCGAGAACGAAACACTCCTAGGAGTAACTCGACACGCTCCGAGCTATCGGAACATACTACTAGCGAAATTCCTGTCACGCGACGGTGCCGACACACTGTCACGTTCACGCACTCCACTGGTGTAAAAAAACAAGATGTATGTTATGAAGACTAGAACAAGGAGAGGAGACTGGAGGAGACCGAATTACGTCTGTTTAGAACTAGCAGGCTGTGCCGAAAAAAAATTTCGTTTCTAGTTCGAAACTTGTCCGCTTGCAGCGTTGGCTACTTTTAAGCCTCCGCTACAATGGCCGCGTTCAGCAGACACAACTGTTGAGTGAGCACTCGGTATGATTGGTTAATACTTTTAGATCCAGCCAATCATATTAAGAAATCGTTGAGCGCTCACTCAACAGTTGAGCCTGCTGAACGTGGCCATTGGCCGCGTTCAGCAGACACAACTGTTGAGTGAGCGCTCAGTATGATTGGTTAATACTTTCAGATCCAGCCAATCATGTTAAGAAATCATTGAGCGCTCACTCAACAGTTGTGCCTGCTGAACGCGGCCATCAACAGTTGTGTCTGCCACAGTATAA